GCAATTGGAATGTCAGAGTCATCAATCATAGGTATAGTAGATTCATGTTCAAGTGTATTCATACCTGAGTGGATTTCTGTAGGAGTTCGATCCGGTTCTGCCTTAGATTGGTGTTGGATGTGTTAGGTGGTCTATGTATTTGTTGTGCGTGGGAGGTGGTGCAATAATGGGTGACAAGTTAGGCACTTGAGGACTAGACGAAGGCTGATTGGTAGGTACATTTTCATGTGAGTTGGATGAACTTGCTGAATCCGAGTCGGGAGATAATGAGTGTGGTTCAAGGGAGGAGGATTTTGTGTGTGGTGGTATGAAATCCTTGTCCCCCCAAGACTGATACTCCCTTAAAGTCTTCCTCTGAATATTAAAATTTGGGTAATAAGGCTGATTTTCAAAGAAAGTGACATCCATTGCGCTGTAGGTTTTTCTTTTGAGAGGAAAGTAACACTTATACCCTTTTTGAAGAGGCGAGTAGCTGAGGAAAATACATTTAGTAGATTTAGGGTCAAGTTTCCTGTGATTGTGTGAATGAAAGTGAACAAATGAGGAGCGACCAAATACTTTGGTAGGTAGATTTTGGGCAATTTCCTTAGTGTGGGGAAACAATTTGAGGAGTTGGACTGGACTTTGAAATTTGAGACCCTAGAAGAGATCCTGTTGATGAGGTAGGCTGCAGTGGATACAACGTCACCCCAAAAAGCCTTAGGCACGTTAGAGGAAAACATGAGTCAGCGTGCCACCTTGAGAAGCTGGCGGTTTTTGCGTTCAACGATCTCATTTTGTTGAGTAGTGTCAACGCAAGAACTGAGATGGAGGATGCCTTTAAAGGAGAGATAAGAGCCAAGGATGGAAGCAAAATACTCCTTTGCATTATTAGTCTTGAGTTCCTAGATGGAGTTTCAGAATTGTGTTTGGATCATTGAGTAAAATTTTTTAAATATGTGACCGACTGCATATTTATCTTTCATAAGAAATAACCACATTAGTTGAGTGTGATCATCAATAAATGTGACAAACCATTGAGTCCCGGTAAGGGTTGTAACACTGGATGGGCCCCAGATATCGTTGTGAATGAGTGCAAAGGACCGAGAAGAGGTGTATCAAACATGTGGAAATGACATGCGAGTGTGTTTGACAAGTTGACAAAATTCACATTGAAAAGAGAAAATATCTTTATTAATAAATAAATTTGGAAATAGTTTTGCAAGATACATAAAATTTGGATGGACGAGACAAAAATGCCATAACATAATCTCAGAATCTTGTTGACACTAGAATTGAAGACAGAATGATGGGTAAATAAATGTCCACAGCGAGGTTGTGGTGGTGAAGTACCATTGATGACGTAAAGACCCGAGCACATCTCAACATTTCCAATCGTCATCGCTGAGTCTGCATCCTGAAATTCACATGTGGTAGGAAAAAATTTAGCAATACAATTTAGATCACCAGTCAACTTTACAATGGATATTAATTTACAATTTAAGATAGGAACATGAAACACATATCAGAGTAGAATGTTTTGGGTGATGCGCACGGAGCCAAAGCCGGCAACTTCGGAGATAGAGCCATTGGCAATGCGGATGATGGAGTTGTCCCCGCACAACATATAGTCATGGAGAAGGGAGGCATTGCCAGTCATCTGATGAAAAGCGCCAGAATCAATGATCCACTGACTGAGGGATCCTTGATTGACTGTGAAGACATGGTAGAACGTACCTTGCTGCTCGAGCAGGCTGGTAATGGGGTCGGGAACAACCAGATCAGGTGGTTTGCCGATCATTTTATGCAATAAATCGAGTTGCTCTTTGCTGAATGGACTAGGTGCTGGTGTCAGAAGGTCATTAGCAGCGACAGTGTTGTTGGCACGAGGAACGCGATCACACCGAGGCTTCCAATCGATTGGCATTCCATGAAGCACCGAACCCTTATCTTTATTATGACCCAGTTTGCGACAATGGTCGCACGAGGGACGACCCTTGCGTGATGGGTTATCATTGTGTCAAGGCAGAGGAACCCGAGCTGCAAGGACGAAGGCGTCAATGGAGAGATTGAACGAGGTGGAGATAGGCCCAAACATGACTTTCTGGGGGCATTCTTCGCAACGAACCTCGAAGAAGGCCTCGTGAATACTTGGTAGTGGTTTGAAGCGTAATACACGAGAACAAACACAATCGAGAGAGTTGTTGAGGCTGAGAAGGAATTTGAATATCCTTTTTTCCTCGATGATCAGATAGTATAAGTTGGTGTTTGGAGTGCATGATCAGACATGAACTTCATACATGTAAACCTGTTGTCAGTAACGTCAGAGGGCAGTAAAATACCGAGTCATAGATTTTTTACCTTGGCAAAGATCGTGGAGGATTGACTTGATCTCGAAGAGCTTTGATATGTTATTCAAGTGAGAGTATGTTTCTTGAGCAGCATCCCAGATACTCTTGGCCGTGTCGTACAGAAGAAAATTTTTGTCGATGTCGTTGGTCATATAATTGATTAACCATGACATGACCATGTGATTTTTTGCATTATATGTCCGGAATTTTGGGTCATCCTTGGTCGGAGCGACTACATCATCAATTATATAGTAATTTTGGGTCATCCTTGGTCGGAGCGACGACATCATCAATTATATAGCCATCCTTGCCTCTGACGCAGATAAACATCATGACAGATTGGGACCACTAGAAGTAGTTTTGGCCGTTGAGTTTGTGGTCAGTGATGAGGGAGGAAGTGTCATCGATTCCAGTTGGAACAGGGGCAGATGAGGCGGAATGAGGCGAAGGATATTTCTTGGGAAGAAGAGGAAGAAGTCGTCATACCGAAGAAGATTGGTATGACTCTGATACCATGAAAAGATATAAGATGACTTAATTTTATTGATGAAAAGAGGGGTATAAATACCCATTACAGGACTTACTAATAAAGAAAACAATAAAAACATAATATAGTAGAAAAATAAATGAATAATAACAAAATATAAGAGTCAGTCAATCTCTCTGATTAAGGAGAGAAATAAATAGAGATTCCCAAGACCCCTCATATAATTTATAACTATTTATAACCCTCTAAATATAGAGTTATAACAAATATGAAATATAATCATTAATATTTTTGAGATCTACAAACACACACACACACACAGAGATATATATATATATATATATATATATAATCTTAGGGTTGTATTCGAGGACAACAAAAAATTGGGTGGGCCCCGCCCAAATAGGAGGTAACCGTGCACAAGGAAGGACCTCTCAACCCCCTCACACCTGGACTGAGCAAGTTGTGTGCGGCACTTGATGCGCCCGCGAGGGCTTGAGGGCGCCCCCGCACCAGGCATAGGCGCCGCCGCGTCATTGAGATAGATAGAATGTTTGGCCATCAACTAAAAAAATATAATACCAAATGACACCGGTAAGAATCAAGAACATACTTAAATAGTCAAAACTGTATGCCAAGCTATCGATTCCCACACAGTTTTCTCATGCGCATCTTTATCATCAAAATCAACATCATCATTCTGCTGTTCTTTTTATTGGATCGAGTATTTGCATATAGAAGCCCAGAATCTAATCTGCCATAGGAAACAGAGTAGGAAGGGTAGAATTCATGCACAGGAAAGCCCTACCAGCAACCCTAGTTTATCTTTCCAACCACTATTTTTCATTTCTGTGCACTGATAGGAAGTGCAAGTAAGACATTGGCCCTTTTTTGCCCCAAAAAATGCATGTGTGAACACATGGACTTCTCTTGGCCGATGTATGAACAAATTCTTACATCAAGAACAAAGATTTCTTCCAAATGCACCGGCTGGACAATGAATCTGCCGCAATGAACTTTCAATTCTGCAAACGAGAAGTGGTTGAACCCTGCGGCAGCCTCAAAAGAAAGAATAAAGGTCTTTGGCAAACCAATCTTGGTGAAGTCATGAACTCCATTATGATCTCCAAACCTGAAATAATCTGTCCTGCTGCTATTTTAAATTTCTTGCAACCAAAATTTGGGTAGACGGCCTCAAGAAATGCAGAATCTATGGAGGAGAGAGGGAAGTTTGGTAGAACGATTTTGGCGAAATCCCAGACTTCACTACGATCTCATTCCCTTATCACCTCTCCAAACTTGGGGAATCCATCCCAGAACAGGTAATCCTCCCTTCAACTCAGGAAAACCTGAAATAATATTCTCCAAAATGAATTCCTTATTCCCTCCAAAGAAAGGCCTATTTATAGGCAAGCTAGCCCTAGTCCAAATAACCCTTAGACCCTTAATTACTAGATTACCCTTAAGAGGTAAAACAACTGAAAAGATGTCCACTAATTAATTACGAAAAGACCTCTCCTAACACTAGGTCAAGTTCATGTTTAGCGAAATCCTTCTTCACTTAGGTATTTGGTCGAGTCGACATTTAGTAAATGGTGACAGAAATATACAGTCTCATAAGTTAGATTAAGTGGTGACTAATCAGAATTTATCACGTTGGAATTACCCTTTAGCTTGTCACTAGCAACTGAAACTTAAGAAGTCTTTATTCCATATTTCCATGGATTGGAAATGATCAAGTTTTGTAAGTTTTGACGTTGAATGAACTAAAAATTAAACTTTGAGCTTGTTTTGTGCTCGTAATTTTCACAATTGAATCCAGAGGTTGAAGGATTGGATCAAGCGTGCAATATTATATCATTATATTCCATCTTTCCTATAAATAACAGTCTGACCCTCGCGATAAAAGGCTACATTGAACTACTCTGTTGACAACTGTTGACAGGTCAATCAAATTGTGGTATATGGATTGTTCCATTGTAAATTTAACGACATAGCCAATGATGCAGTCTAAACTCATTGGAGTTGTGGCTCTAAAATCCTGGTCGCCAGCATTTTGAAGCTACCAGAGATATCCATGCTCTGTTTTCTTGAGTCATTTTATAGCATGCTACTACCTTTTACCTTAAACTATATCAAATTATCAAAACAATAAAATTGTATCATTTATTAACTTCAGGCTCTTGATCTTGAGCGGCATGCAAACTCTGGCGGGGACATGGTCCATGATATCTGGGAAGCTCTTGCCAGAGCCAAATACATGGAGTGGGAACTTTCATCCAGCGAACGAGCATGGCGGTTGCAAAAACTCAAGTAGTATCTTTAGTTCTGCTGAGTAACTTTCCTTGTCCAATCTCTTTGTTTCTGTACCCAACCACTGTTCTTTATCTAACTCTTCTTAAATTCTCAAGGGTTGAATGTGAAAAAGCTCTTATGCTTCATCAGTTTCTTCAAGATCCTCAGCCGGAAGACTGCTTTCAGGCATCACCAGATGATAAAGTTGACCAATTTGAACTTTTGAATGAAGTTTTCAGCAAAGCATTGGAGGATGACACACCTAGAGAAGTGATAGCTGAGTCTAATCTTTCGCTTACACACATTATAGATATCTTATACAAGTGTTAATGGTTTTGTTTTGCTATTTCCAGGTACCTGACTATTTATGTTGCAATATCACACTTGATATCTTCCAGGATCCCGTCATCACTCCAAGTGGTGTTACTTATGAAAAAGCTGTACTTCTCGAACATCTTGAAAAGGTTTCATTCATATCTTTCACATTTTTTTGAAATACTCTCTCTCTCTCTCTATCCATTTATCTATTTATCTCTTTCTATCAACATATGATGATAATGGCATATAAAATGCATTTCCTTTTAAAATTACCTCTGGTTCTTTGTTTTGTTTCCTGGTGGCCATGTAGTCAAAAGGTGATTAGCATTGCCAAAAAATTATAATACATGATTTTTAATCTCAGAACCTTGTTTTTTATGACATGATGATTATGCTGTTATTTAAATTTTGACCTCTGTTAAACATAATCATGACAATGCTCTTTTCATAATGTCCACACAGGTGGGTAAATTTGATCCAATTACAAGAGAACCTCTTGATAAGGACAAGTTGATTCCAAACCTCGCCATCAAGGGAGCTGCTCGAGCATTCCTGAAGAAGCATGGTTGGGCATACAAGACAAGCCAAGGGTCGTAGTTTATTGCCATGGAATGCAGTTGATGTACTTCAAGCTATCACAGGTATTAGTCTTGGTAGAATTCTCTTTTATGTTTGGTTTCCATCTCTTTTTTTTTTCTTTTACTAGAGTGTATATAGAAAGTTGCTTCTTTTAGGCTTAAATTGTGAAAATTCACATTATCTCCTCTGATATCTTAATTGACCTATCAGTAAGGTTGTTTAAAAATTTCAAGGTCATTTGACTTAAATTTGACAAATTATGAAAGTTTGGACCCTTAGGGGCAAAATGGTAATTTTGGACATTTTGGCCTTAATGAACATTTAGGCTTAATCAGAATAGGAAATGGGTAATTTTTTATATTAATTAACTCATTTAATGATTTGCAATCAAAAATGGGCTTAATTGATAGAAACTCACTTCACTTCACCAAATTACAATATAAAAAGATAATTCCCATAATTATCAAAATTTTGGAAAACTTCATTAATCAAAAATGACTTTTGAATTCAGGGGTATAATTTTGGAAATCAATGATTTCATACCCTTACTTGATAATCAAAATGATATTTAAATGATCTTGATTACTTAAAATTTTAAATCTTTCAATACACATACTTAATACACTTAGGTCTTAAGGACTTAGTGGTG